CCCGTGTCCATCTGCTCAGGAGAGCACATGTGCTTGTACTCACCTTTGTTTCCCAGCACCGGCACCTGCGAAACAGGGATGACAGAAAGCAGCTAATGCCTATCAAGTGCTTACTGTCACCACGCACTCATAGACGCTCACTCAATTCTCACATCAACCTATCAAGCAGGTACCATTGTCATATCCCCGTTTTACAGGCAAGGAAATGGAGGCACCTAGTAGCTAAATAACCTGCCCAAAGGCATTAAGTGGTAAGTGGTGGAGTCGGGATTGGAATCCAAGCAGTCCATCTGGCTGCTGAACACGCGTTCTTAATCATCATCCTATGCTGCCTCTCAGGGGCCACTGGAATATTTAATGAGAAGTGCCCAGGATACTTTGAATGAATAATTGAGTGACTTTAGAAATGAGCTGATGAGATTCCATTTAAAAGAACTAATGGAGCCCCCTTGAACCTCCCCAAAGAGACCAACAAATACATAGAAGGGAAACTGTCACTGAATCCCCTCCACAGGCCCACGATGAGGTCCTTTGCAAACACCAGGGCTAGTGCACTTCCCCAGCAGTCAGGATGGGAAGCTGTCTGCTCTGGGCAGGGAGGAGCACCTGGTACCTAGCAGGGGGCACTCCCCGCAGAGGAAGGATCACTGGATGGGTTCTCGGAGCCTGGAGGTGATGCGCCAATGGAGGAAGTGGTCCCTCTGCTCCCATTCACGCTGACTCAGTCACCCAGTCACTAGCATAACCATGTAACACCTGAAGCCCTCGGACACAGGGAGACACTTGGGGAGGCTGATTGATTAATTAATTAATTAATTAATTAATTAATCAATTTTGGTTTGCCTGGTTAGAAAGTGAGATTCCGCTGGACATTTATAAACTGGCATTTGGCGTGTATCTCAGTTTTCCGGAGCCTGATAATCCTGGCTGAGCTCAAGGGCTATTGCGTGCAAAGACCGCGTCTCATGTGGCACCCTTAACTGCTTCAGTGCCACTTACCCCACACCCACACCCAGAAAACTAGAAAGGGACACGAGAACATTTATTTTCTCAGGACACTGTTTCGCGGGCTCCCTCTCAGCACAGGTGCAGTTCTCGGAAGGGCTCCTTTCACAAGCCCCCTGTGGCCGGGGCCAGGGCTCTGCTCACACGAAGTTCTGAGCAATGGCCAGCACCTTGGAAAACTCGCCTTCCCTCTGGCGCAGGCTGGTTGGGATGGGTATCTTGATTCGGGTCCCCACAGGGTTCCCATTGTCCTCGATGAGCACCACGTTGTTGGAATCAAACCTGGGGGTCATCTGGGGGCCGGGCATGCGATGCCCCACAATGAGCGCCTTTTTCTTCTGCCCCTTGATGGCCAGCAGGATCCGGTCACCCACCTTGCCCACCCCGTTCTTGTTATAGACGTGGATGCAGCGAGGCGGACGATGGTATGGGGTGTTCCCCAGGGCGCTGTTGTCCACCACACGCACCCGCGTCATCTTCTGAATTGCACCGAGGCTCCCAGTGGTGCTGGTGGAAGGGAAAAAAAGCCGAGGTCTGCATGTCGCTCGATCAGGGCGCAGAGGCCTCTGCCAGGCAAGGCTTTGGAGACCGACCGTGCACATGACCAACATGCCGGACGGAGCACGGCCAGGGCCCCAGCAGAGGCAGTGCCTGTGAAGACTTCTCTGTGCCCATGGCAGTGCCCTCGCAGCTCCTTACAGCTGCTGCTGCCTGGTCAGCACCTCAATCTGGATGGGTTTTAAAGAGGACCCAATTTTCTGTTACAAATGAACTTCATGGCAGCCTTAACTTATAGCCTTTGGTTTCCAAAAGGACTCTGAGGATTAAGGGAATACCTTATGGGCCCCGCCCCGCCCACTGCCTAGCCTGCAAAACCTGCTCCCCCAGAATATACCGATCCCCACATGTCCATCTACATGTTGTTGGGAACCAGAGGAGACAAGTGAGTGTGTTTGCTAAGTGAGTCCCTCGACACAACATAGCAGAAACTGAAAATAAGGCAAGATAACAATCTTTTGTTTTAATACATTTTTCTCCACTAGAAAGAGTACCTATTAAGGGCAGAAAAGCTATTATTAAGCAATCTGATTGGCAGTGGGAATTCTAGTTTCCTGACGCCCAGCCCTTAGTGCTGTGTTCTCCAGGGGCACCCAGGTCCTCTCCTCTCACTCCACATGCCCACCCTGGGCAACGTTCCCTAGTCCCCTTCCTTCCAGCTAGTAGAGCCCATCTCCAGCCCCTCTTCTCTCCTATACTCTGGTCCTGTATTTCCACTCTAACTCCGCACGTGTCTTACAGATGTTGCCATCTCAGCAGGTCCCACAGTGACCTCATCACCCCCACCCCCGCAAACCTCCTCCCGCTGCTGCATTTCCTGCCTAGATAGTGGCTCCTCCAGACACTCCAGCTCCCAAGCCATAAACCTCTCTCCATCAATAATCCACTGGCTGCCTCATCCCACTGATACCACCTCCTGAACACCTGTGTCCCTTCCCTCCACCCCTGTCGACACTTCTTTATCCAGCAGCTCACTCTCCCGCACCAAGACCTGTTAGTGGCCTAACCGGCTCCCTGTGCACCTCACTCTGCCAACTAAGAGCCCTTCTTAGAATATAAAACGGAGGCCCCTCCTCTGCTTAGGATTACTCAGTGGTCCCCACTGTCTAACTGTCAACAGCCTGGCCCCAACATACCTGCCTTCTGAGGTCCACCATCTCCTACCACTCACACATCCACTCTGTGGCCCAGAACCCCTGGAGCTCTCCAGGGATGCCTGGCCTTTCGGGGATGGGGCCTGCCCCCACTTCCCTTCTGGGAAGGCCGCCTCCACCCTCCTTTTCTCCTCCTCCACCTCCTCCATTAGCAACCCCTGTCTCAGGCCTTCCAAAGAACTGTACAAGCCTCTATTATTATACTGGCCACGTTTTCTTAGAGTTATTTGTTTCCAAGTTTGCTCCCATGGCCAACTGTGAGAACTCTTCCAGGGCAGGAAGCAATTCTTATTCATCTCTCTGTGACCAACCCCAGGCACAGGGCTCAGTAAACGCTTGTGGAATGAGTGCTCGAACAGGGCCAAAAGGCATGTTTGCCAACAGGAATGCAACCCATGCTCTCTGCCCTGGCTTAGCATCCAAACGGGGAAGGGGGAGGTTGTCACACTTCCATCATGCTTGAGTTTTTGCTAATAAGCATGTGATTTAGAAAAAAAAGATTTCATTTTTAAAAGAGAGAGTGTTAATGTACTGGGGGGGTGACAGTGTCGAGAGATGTCAGATTCACTACAAAAGCCTGCAAGGATGGAGATTTCATCTTCCTCCATCTCCCTTCCTGATCCTGCCTCCAACAGAACCTTACCTCTCCCCCTCACCTGGCTTCACCAAATCCCAGCTCCACCTATTCCCTTAGCCTTCCCTGACCCCAAGCCCACCTCCCCCAGTTTCCACTCCTGCTTTAGTCACCAAAATACCCAGCCCTGATGGGAGGCTCACTCAGAAACATAGCTTTAAGAACTTAACGGGAAGTTACCTGAAACAGCGCTGGCTGAGTGCTCTGCTCAAGTGGGGGAAGGGGCCTGAGAGCCCAGTAAAGAAAGCCATGGGATCCCAAGAGGGCAAATCCTGCAGGGAAAGAGGGGGAAAGGATTTATTTCTAAGTCAATGTCCTCACTCAGAGTCAGGGGTTTTTTTGTTTTGTTTTGTTTTTTTGGTTTGTTTTTTATTTTTATTTTTATTTTTTGGTAAGAGAGTGTTGGGGGAAAAAAAAGACTGTTGGGGACTCATGTGGGAGATGGAACTTTGAGCACAGGATCATCAGTCACTAAATATAAATCTTGGTGGTTAAAAGATACACAGATGATTAGATGGAATTCCGGCTACAATTTTGCTGAGTCATATTCTCTCCGGGGTCAGAGAGCTGGAATGGCCCACAACAGTTCTTGCAGTAGGTAGCACCACAGCTCAGAGAATGCCTTCACCATTACATCACTTCCACAGGCAGCAGGAGAGCATGAGTCCTCTGGGACACACCCAGGCAGGGACCACTTCCCAAGCCCTCCACACCTGCCTCCTGGTACCCTTGTTGACACTCACATGCCTCCTGGAACCAGAACTTTTACTTCGTGGGAGAAAGCAGATTATCTGAGCAACTGTCCAGGTTGTCTGTCACCATATCACCTTTCCCCCAAATGTAAAAGCCAGAACACCTGGACAGCTCGTGGTTAGCCAAGTAGAGCCAAAGGATGCCCTTGCCAAGTCATGAACCAAGGTCTCCATCTGGATCAGTCTCCCAAACAGCAACATAACACAGAACTACCTACACCATCCTGCGGCTGAAAGTGCGGTTTGGGAGAGGAAGTGGGAGATGAAAGAGCAAACACCAACCCAACGCTGTTGACTCCAGGCTGCAGAAACTCGAGCCCGAGGCTCCCCAGCGCCAACAAATCTGGCAACTCCCAGGTTCCTGCAACACCTGGGCAACAGGGAAGGGAATGTTTAAGAAAAACCTACAGCCTGTCGACAATTCCAGCGGCAAAGCATGCCTGCTCTTTCATCAAAGGGTTTGGCTACAAAGGGCCTCATTCGAGAGCTCTGTTGAGAAAGCTTCTACCACTGTAGTATTTACACATAGCTTTGCCTTGCACAAGCTCAAAGCACCTCAGATAAGGTTTTATTCAATAAGGGTGAGGGAAAACCTCATTATTCATTTTTACAGGAATACCTAAACACTCCAGAAATGCTTATAAACTACAATTTAGCCTCAAATTGCAAGCTTATTCTCCAGTGTTTTCCTTGAGACAACCCAGGAAGCATTGGCCGAAATGTAATTATGATCAGAAAACTACATGCAAAAACAGGCAGCCAACTTATAGAACTATTAACATCTGATGCACAGAATCAAAGACTATCAGATGAGGCCAGCTTTACCTTTACAGCTCAGTGGCCCTGGGCAAGGGGCTGTGAGCTTCAGCTTCCCCACCTGTAACACAGGGCTTCCCCATCTGAACACCTACTCATAAGGTGCTCGTGAGAAGCTGTGTAAAGCACGGAGCGCGGTGCACGCACACGGTACCTACTACGGTCTTCATCATCATCACCTCACGGCTGTCTCCTTTCAAAGATTAGGAAACTGAGAGACAGACAGAGGAAGGGACTAAAGCCCCATAACTAGCTGAGGGCAGAAGCAGAACCAGAAGTGCCCCCAGCTTCAGTCCAGGGGTCTTCCCTCCACGCCCTATGGCCTCACGCTGCCGTACAAAGCCCACTTCACATAAGGGGCTCAGGGTGAGAAGCAGCTGTAAGGGTCATCTGGTCCTTTTCTGTTTTCTTTCTTAATGAAAATGTATCAAGTAGTTACAGTGTGTTAGGCAGTAGGCTAAATGCTTTACATCATCATCTCATTTAAGCCTCACAAAAACTATGAAATGGACACTATTATTAGCCTCATTTTATATGTGAGGAAATGAGGCCCAGAGAGGTCGCATAGTTTGCCCAAGTCACACAGCTGGGAGTGACAAAGCTGAAATTTGAACCCCAGTAGTTGGCTTTCTGAACCCACGCTCTTACTCAACACAGTTAACATGGTAAATTTAATTTAAACATTAGTATTTTTCCAACTGTTAGATCATCCTTATCCCATCAAGAATACTGATATCTCATGCACATTTCACTCAGACCCAACTCACTGCTTGCTGAATCAACTGAAATGCAGAAGAACACCAGGTAAAAGTTATTCTCTTTAATCCAATTTACAATTCGTAGGGTAGGTGGCAACAAGAGCGTTACACTCTGAGCAATAATGGAAGACTGGCTTTCAGGGGGAAAAGAAAGGAGCTCTGAAAAGCAGTCCTTCTGGTCCAGGCTGCAGTTACCTCCCTCCAATTTCAGCCATGCCTTCCCATCCATCCGATGGATGCTGGCGGGCCCCTGCTCTCACTCCCTGGGAGAAAAGAGGCTCCGGCTCCCCCAGCTCCTCCACTGAGCCCTCACAATTAGTCTGGTGCCACCCACGTCCCCTTTCCCAAGAACTTGACACCCAGCCTCTCCACTGCACCACAAGTCCGAGAAATGCAGAAGCACCTGGGGACTTCCCAGAACTTCTCTGACTTGGGAATAACAAGCCCCAATGTTTAAGGTACTTCCCTAAAATAAAATCTGCAGAGCAGTCTGTGCACAGACCCAAACCCAGGCCTCCTCTCTTTGCCTTGCTCATAAGCCATCCCTATAACCTGGGCTCATCTATGTCCAGCGAAATCTGCCCCAGCTCTAAACATATCTCCTCCGAGAAGCTCTGTGTAAGGCTGCAGCATCCGTTGCCAGCAGCGTTGCACACCTAGGATGCCTGGGTGTCCCTAGCCAAAGGAACTCTCACTGGCCCAGCTTTCACTATCCAAATTCAGACACAGAATAAATTTAGATTTCTTTTCTTTTTCTTTCTTTTTTTTGGAGATAAGGCTGACATCCCTGAACATTCTAGTTCTTGCTATTCACTATCCACAACTCAGAAACCACAGAGATCTTGACAACATGGCCTCTGAACTCACTACAGGAATTTAGGAATCCCACAGACTCAGGATTATTTGTACTGCCCTCATACACAAGAGTAATACATTCACGTCTCTAGGGAGCACTTCACAAGAAAAGGCCTAATTCAAAGACTTTTCACTAGCTCTTTGGTGGATCTGATAGTGACCTCCAGACCCAAAGGACTTAAAGACATCAAATGAACAGCAGTAAGCATTCCTATGAACTTGAAAGCAGAAAAGGACCAAATATATTTGTATACAGAAAAATCTGTGGTCCCCTCTATTGCCACCCCAGCAAAAGATCCCAGCAGGTCCTGATAGAGTAACAGTGCAATAAATATTTGACGAATAAAATAAACAAGGTAGCCAAAAGAAAGACAGACCCCCCACCTATGGCATCGCACAGGGAAATCCAGACACTGGAGTTCTTCTCTGTGTATCAGGAACCAGCACATCACATGTAAACATGCTTTAGAAGAACCATGGTGCTGGCCATGGAAGATTAGCCCATGCTACATTCACAAGCCCCTGAAATCATCTCCCAGGCCTGGTGCTTCACTGCCCACTGTGGAAAAACACCATATCCCACCACTAAACAAACAACTGGTTCAGATCGGGGAAGAGTAATGGAGGCAGAAATTTACTTTGAAGCAATTTTGACTGCCCCTGATGTTACTTCCTAGCATAAATCCAACCTGTAGACACAGGCTCTGATTCACTTCAGATCAGTCTATATATAATGCTTTGTTTCACAAGCAATGTTATCCTGAATCTTGTGTTTGCACAGGAAGCTAACCCCAATGATATTTCCTCCTCCAAACTCTCACTCGGAGGAAGCCAGGTATTCAGAAAACTCTAGTGCCAGGGATGGCTTTTCATGCCACTTCCTGGTCAGCACTGAGCAATGCCCTCCAGGTTTAGAGCATGAATCACAACCACTGGGGGGGGGGGGTGCGGAGAGGGCAAGAGAAGGAAAGGAGAGAGCAAGAGAGAGACGGAGAGAAATTACCTAACACAATCCAAAGATCATGCTCATTTTCCATCCTGGTTTAACATTAAGATCTCCCTTTGGTTGTGGAGGCCAGGGAGGACTGTAGATTTCAGGGACAGAGGTGAGTTTTTCACCTAGCATGACCTCATAGGTCCCATTGGAAGTACTCTCTGTGAGGGCAGGGACCAGGCCCGCCCTGTTCATTCCTTGCATGCTCATGACCTAGAACAGCGCCTGGCATACAAACAAGAGTTCAGTGAGTATCTGTTAAATGCATAAAATGCATCTGCAATTGCAATTCATCCTCCAGCTCCAGACAGGCTCCAGTCTGGGGGGGGTGGGGTTGGTGATGTTTCTCATGCCTTTCACCCAGGCTCCTGGTGACTTAGGGGGGCGTCCAAGACACTGAGAGCTCATTTTTAGCTAATTTTAATACACAGAGACTAGAAAAGCAGACAGGAAGAGTCTATGCCTCTGATGCTTTGTCAAAAGCTGCAAAGTATCATTATTTGAGCTTTAGGAATCAGCAAAATGTTGTACTTAGTATCACAGATCCATATATATTTATACATTGTTTCTTCCTGAACAACTGTCATTTTTACTGCCTGGCCTGTTATCTACATTTTAAAAGCTTTTCAAGAGGAATGGGTTCTAAAGAAAAAAGACAAAAAGCAAATAAAAAAGTTCAGCACAATCATAAAACAGTGTTTAAAGGAGATTCTGCTGGTAAGTGACAGAAAAGAAAAAGAAACACTAAGAGAAATCAAGTACAAGGCCCAGCCGCAAAAAGGCCAAACTCTGCTGAGTGTAAGGATGTAAATGCCCTTCTTAAATCACAGCAGGAAAAAGCAGAGGCCTGGCAGCTTTGAGGAATCAAAACAAGGGAATTCCCTGGATCCTCCGCCCTGTCATGCTGACAACACCTCCTATCTCCTGCAGGTTTCACGCCAATCATTCCGGACCAAAAAGTGCTCTTATTTATTTGTTGCTTAAATACTCATTACTATTTTGTCCTGGAAGGATTCTCTTCCAGGAAGTTTTGTGGGTTTTTTTAACCTCACACAAGTGTAACATAATACAAGGCTCAAATTCACATAGATCACTTTCTTGGATGATTTCTTTCCTGAGCACCCAATGGAAAGACAAAAACAAAGACCAACAGTTTTCAGAGGGTGATTTTGGGCAGTTCTAAGGGTTCAACAGAGTAAGTGCCATTTTGCAGATGGAGAAATGAAGTCTGAAGTGTTAAGCGAACTGTTGACTTGTCCGAGGAAGGGTAGAAGGTTGTTTCTATTACACCTGGCACAACACCTGCATGGCCGAGATGCTGCTGTCTCCACTAACAAACCTCCTGGAAACAAACGTACTCCACACAGTGCAAGTACACTTGCTCCTCTGTCAAAGCTGCCACATAATCTTTTAAAACTCAGGAATTTAAAAGCTGTCTTTGCAACAGATATCTACACTACGCCCAGAGTGGCCTAGGACCAGTGCTGAAGCTGACTCTGATCACCCACAAAGGTGTGAGTGCTCACAGCATTTCTCAACAGCACAATGGGCTGTTTCTACTCTGGCTACCAGTAAGGAACTGGTTCTCAATTTGATTCACAAAGAAAAAAATGTTTCAGGGTTCTTATCTCTGTTTATTTACCTAACCTGTATATTTGTTTGCTCCACCTTGTTACAGAAGTATTTAAAATCATGGTTCTGAACAATACCTGACAATTTTTAACTATTCAAGCTGGTTTTTCAATGTGTAGATTTTATCTATCCTAGCTTTGCTCTCCCACCATCCCCACCTCACAGGTATGCAAACACCTATAGTTTCAGAAATAAGTTTGTAACATTCTCGGTATGGTCAAACTCAGAAAAACAGCACAAGGCAAAGCTGAGTTCTACCTAATCACATCCGTATTTCTTTCCTAT